CATTGGAGAAGCCGGATTCGCTTAGCAACCACATGATTCACTTAACCATGTGATTCGCTTAACAACCATTATAAAAATGGTCATAAAATTGGGTCCAGTCACATAGTGACTTCCTTAATGACTGCCCTGCTTAACAACCAATTTTCCAGTCCCTATTGTGGTTGTTAAGTGAGGACTACCTGTAGCACCAAAACTCATTATCTAAATCTCACTGTCATTATTAACAGTCTAGATATATATAATCTTACATAAATGGCCTTAAGAAGGAATGTCACCTTGAGAAGTGAAGGATTTAGAGACCAGCCATACCTTTTGTTGGGATCATGCAAGAACTGCAGAAGGCAGCCACAGGATTCTGGGAAAGGATACTAATGCTTTAAAGCAATGTTTCTCAACCCTAGCTACTTTAAGATGGGTGGACTTCAACTCCCAGAATTCCCCAGTCTTAAAGTTGTCAAGGTTGAGAAATACTACTTTAAAGAGTGCAAACACATACTACATTCATGCTCCAGTATGCAAAACCACCTTTTTGGAATCAGATCCAAAGCACTGTGCAGCCCTAGCAAAAAATACCAGCTGAGAAACTGATGATATCAGCTCCAGATTAAACACTGGTATTAATATCCACTTGAACACCTGCAGCATTTGAATAAGCATCAGAGCATCTTATCTGATGATGTTGTCAGAATGACAAAAACAGGGTTGCAACATAAGCGTTGCCCTTTATGTTTACGTATGCAACATCATGATGCATGCATAAAAGGGGTAGAGAATGCACTGCAATATTCATTTTTCATTTGCTGCTCGCCCCACATCTGCCATTTATTTTGCTTACTTTACAATAGCTAAGCATGATGCAAGCCAGATCCCCAGCTGTAGATCTCTTTAAGAAACTTGCCAGATGCTCCTTGTTCTATTCCGTAACAGCAAGGAAAGCAATCCATGCAATCCATCAGATTTGCATGAACATAAAAGAGAATTTGGCAGAAGAGGGACATATCATCAAATCTGTATCTCCCAAACCAATGTGTCTGAGCAAAGTAAGGTGTAGAGTGTTTTTATCCTCTGAAAGTGCTGGACCAGGCAAGCCTCAAAATGCTCTCTAATTGAACCTTCCTCCACTTTCATCTACTAACCATCTCCCTTTACACAAACACATTGATCAACTGGGGTATTAACCAACTTTACCCCGCTCTGTTACTAAGTTAGAATTCTGCTAACTGTACCAGGTGATCGAAGATCATGATGATCAGTGGATAAAGAGACAAAAGGCACAATAATTGCTTTTTTAATTTGAGCTCTTCAAATATGCAATAAGTGTAAGAACTGAGTGAGGATGCATCCTTCTGACTCTAGAGCTTCCTATGATCTGTGTAAGTCTCTCTGGCACACAAGGGAAGTGTGGCCTCTAGTGGATGTATCTATGAATTCAAAATAAAGTTCTGGTAGCCTTAAAATGACCATTTAGAGATGATTGCACTTTATTACACTTGGCAAGCTACTTATGTGGAAGTGAGTCTTTGGTCAACACCATCTATTCATCCTCTTTCGAACTACAAAAAACAAACTTTTCCCAGAAGAATGACACAATCTTCAATGCTGCTCAGCTCTTTTCTTCTACTATGCACCTTTGGTTCTATGGGCTAGGGCTACCATTACTGGACTGGAGAAAACTCTTCTAGCTGCTATCTCATCAACGTCTGCATTTTTGCAGCCCAGATTCAGTAGCATTCATACGGACAGTCAGGCAAACTGAAAGTCCATGGCAGAGACTCAGTTTCTGGGACTGAGCTTGGCTGACTTAAAAAGCACTGAGTTTGCTTTGTTCTTCTAAACGATGGGTTTCTTGAGGCTGTTGATCAATATTGGACCCCACATTTCTTCAAGACAAAGAAAGATAAAAGTAAATGCATGCCAGAGGAGACGTTTAGAAAAAAAGATAAAACTTTAAGGGTTTATTAAAAAAAACAAGAGGATTCAAAAAGAAATAAAGACAAAAATAAGCAAAGACGACAGTAATGAATCTACCTCCTCCCTGTCAAGAGCTTCTTGAAATTCTTTGAGGCGTCTTTCCTCAAACTGCTTTTCTCGGTAAATTCTGTTTTGCCACAGGACTTCTTTCTCATGCCTCACATGCATAAGTTGAACAGCTATTCTCCGCTCCTGCTGGGACTGTCTCATAAGTCGGTTGATAAGCTGCTCTTCTCTATATGCCTCCTAAAATAATAAAGAAACCAGTGACAGTATTGTTTAATTATCTAGTTAATGATAATGTACAGCTTTTGCAATATACAGGAAGTCCTCACTTAATGACCACAATTGGGATTGGAATTTAGGTCGTTAAGCGATTTAGTCATTAAGCGAATCATCATGTGACTGGACCCAATTTTACAACCTTTTTTGCAGCAGTTGTTAAGCAAATCACCATGGTCGTTAAGTGAATCATGTAGTTCCCCATTTATTTTGCTTGCTGGAAGCTGGCTGGGAAGGTTGTAAATGGTGATCACGCGACCCCGGGATTCTGCAACTGATTGCCAAGTGCAAGCTCACTGAAAAGTGCCCAGATTGTGATCACATGACCTTGGGGGAGCTGTGACAGCCATAACTTCAGGCACTGGTGGTAAGTCACTTTTTAGCACCATTGTAACTTCGAATGGTCACTAAACAAATGGTCGTCAAGCGAGGACTACCTCTGTGTGTGTGTATATGTGTAAATAAACAATAGCTAATACAAACTGAAAAATCACTGCTGGGAGTTTATTGAGAATAAATTCAATTCAACTGAAAGGGATTTATTTTCAAGTAAACATGAACCAGATTGCATAGGACCATCAGTTAACCTGCTGGGGGGATAACTAGCTTTAGTTTATTTCAAGGGCTCATGGAATAAAGAAGTTAAAGTTACTGCTAGATTTACTCATTAAAAACATGGATGACTGGCCATCAGCAATTCTTTATCTCAACAGTCCTGATACAGGGCTTAAATGTATCTTAAAACCAGGGTATCACCTAGCAAAATGCTATACTTTTAAGTTTGAGGAATTTCTCTTGTCTTTCATCTTTAGTTTTTCACAGTTCCAATTCTCATACTTTTAGTATTATGCTAGCTTTTTAAAATCCACCATTATGCTTAACATTAAAGTCTGATGAAGAACTCAAAAATTTGCTTATTATTTTCACTAATAAAGGTACGATTTACTTCATTCCCCAAGCAGGTTTCATAACAGCTTTTACTTTTCATGTCTTTTCAAACTGGTGATTCACAACAGTATCAGTGCCTCATCTAAACATCAGAAGGCAGCATATCCAACTCACTTCTTGTGCTTCGTGGGCTATTAGTTGCTCTCTTAACATCTTTCGTCTCCTCTTCTCCCGTTGTTCTCGAGCAAAGGTATCTTCCTCAAGGCGTTTCTGAATTTTCCTAATATATTCATCATCTGAGTAGGTGTTCAGTAGCTCAGTAATGGCTGGATTTTCCACAGATAGTTCTTGTGCTTGTATTACAGCATTCATCATGCTAAGAAAACAGTACAGGGCATCTGGTGTTACAGGTTTTACACAAAGAATGAAAGAAACTGCTTTCTATCTATTGTCTTCCATTGTCTTATTATTAATATTATTACTATAATATTGTATTATATATTATAATTGAATCTTTCTAACCATCAATCTATATATGCACTTCAAAGTATCACAAATAAAGCTTTGATAGGATGGCCTTGGGATCATTTTCCATTTTTTCGAATGGTCACTAAACAAATGGTCGTCAAGCAAGGACTACCTCTGGACAGGAGCCATTTCTTGAACAGGAGGTAATCCTATGCATCCATCATAGTCTTGATTTATATCCTTCCCATAGCTGTTATTTGCTCTCCCAAAAATAAAAACAAAAAAACCACGCCTTTACCTCTAAAACCAGCTTCCTTCCATGGCAAATATCAATCAATGAAGCCCCAATCTGGATTAAGGCATGATGATTTAATTCCTTTAACCCCCACAATCTCATGATCCTAATCTAGATCACCCCCATTTCTCTAGCAGCACAGGGGAAAAGATCTGATGGGGTGTAGGAAACAAAATAAAAACATCAAAAGAGAGACAACTGCTGAGGCAAGTAGTGTGTCCCCAAAGTAGAGTCTTTTCAACAGCTTTGTGGGCGTTCTCCTTCCTTCCACCAGTCTTCTCTCTTCTGTGCCAAACTGGGGATAACAAGCTGGGTATCAACCGAGCTGCTCTTCTATTAAGACTGCATATTCTGGCAGAGATCACACACACACTATTTGGGACCAACATGTTTTTAAAATAAAATTGTCAGGATATATTACATTTAAGTAGAATCATGGGAAGAGAATGAAGCTGCTAGCAATGCCCCCAGCATTGTTTTTTCATTGTCCAGTTTGTAGCCATCAGTGCCCTGGAATGATTTAGAATTTTCCATAATCTAGTTATCCACGCCAGTTCTCTCCAAATCTGAAATATTACCATTGTTATATGCCTTACCCTCCACTCTCATGAGATAATCATCATTTCTCCACTAGCGATTTATGGCATCTTCTAGAGTTGTCCCAACTTTTGTTGTGCCAGAATAATACTAATGAGAACAGAGTTTATATTGCATTAGCAATGGCTGGGCAAGGCCAAGTCAATGGTGGCAAAATGGCTGATGAATGAATAAAAGTATGTGCTGGCATTATTTAACGGCGTGGAGAAATACAAAGTATTCCCAGTGAAAAATAAAAATACAGATGCCAGCAGATCTACCCAGCAGCTTTATGTCAGTATAACACTACAAACACAGCGTATTTAACCACTTGCATGACTGAAACAAATGCTTATTCATTGGATGTCTGGCAAATGAAGGCTGCTTCTATTTCCACACAGTCCAGCAGAAAAACAGAGCTAAATTTGCTAGAAGTAGTATTACCTCTCTGTGAGTTTGGCAGGCAGAGCAGCCTCTTTCCTCATTTGTTTTTCAAAGTTCTTAATTTCAGTGTACGTGTTCTAGAAGAAAGTAAGCATATTTTAACCCATTTCCTTCTGTTTAATTCTTTACAGCATCCCAGTACAAATTAACAAGATGTTCAAAGTATAAATGCACTGCAGAATGGGATTTCCACTGTTCAGGATGTTTGCTAAAGAAAAAGAGTTGTGCCAGCAAGTTAAGTAAAGTCCATCAGAGCTTCATTAAGCCTTCTGATTTTATCGGGAGCTTTGCCCCACACTATCCAAATAACTCTGGTTTTGGTCCTCTTTCTCCCAACTGCATTTGGATAGAAAGAAGTCTAATCATGCACTGAATTGAGAACATGTGCAGTGTTATCCACGTGCTGTAGGAGTCTGACAGTATTATAAACTTTAATTTTTATATATCCACTTTTGCACACATACACTGATACTCCTGCTTCCAAGAGGAACTTCTTTTATAGTTTTTATAGTTTTTTTTATAGTTTTTTATAACAACTATTTTATATTTGTATTGGCTTTCTTTTTAATCGACTGTTGTATGCCACCCAGAGTCACGCTCTTGTGAGATGGGCAGCCATAGAAATATGATAGATAGATAGATAGATAGATAGATAGATAGATAGATAGATAGATAGATAGATAGAACTTTTCTTCCTAACCAATGCAGGTTTATTCAATGCCAGCAGGACAGGTAGGAATGCAACAATTCCAGATAAGAACATCCGCATATTATCTCAATGAGATCCCACTAAAACAAGTGAATATGATAAATTGCAGTATGTTCACTCAAATAATACGAGTCTTGCCACATATGTGGCACTGTAGGGTCAGGGGACAGTTTCTATTCTGCTGTCTTAGGAATGGTGCATGTTACTCCTCAAAACATTTCTTCCAAAGAGGAAAAGAAAAGGGGTTGCAGGAAGGCAGATCTGTACTGGATTTTAACATGGCAATAAGGAAGGCTCTAACAAACTTTTTCAGTCTGTGGGCAACTTCTAGACCTAACTGGGGTCTCCAAGGAGCAAAATTATTGATGTGACATCATTGGAGTGAACAGGGGCTAAATTTTTGGAAGTGTGTGTTTGTTGTTTGGAGTTAGGTGGTATTAAGCAACAAAATGAGTGCCTCTGCAAGGTTTAAGGCACGTATTTTGCCCCAAAATCCATTCAATCCCCAAAAAGGGCCTGAAAAATTCAGCCCTGATGATTCTGGAGATCATAAATGGAGTACTTGAGGGGCCATATCCAGCCTGCTGATAACTTACCCATAAGATATATAGAGCTATTACTTTTAGCAATCACTGTATTTCTTTAGTGATAAAAGTGATCCTAAATAAGGATTGCTCAGCTAAAGTCTGGAAACCCCCTCCCCCACCTTTCTGTAGATTTATATTTAATCCTGTTTAACCAAAGGGATACGTGTGGATTATGAATGTTCCTCCCCCTGTGTGTTTATTATTAAGAAAGAGGGATGAATTTCCAGCTCTGAATCTAATGAACTGAATCCCAGTTATTTATAGTTCCTACAGGTTTTTTTTTTCCTATTTGCACCTAACTACAGTACAAAGTCCTCATGATGACGCCTTCGTGTCATTCCTACCCCAACCCATACCTGAGACATTGTGAAGTATTCTTATCTGCTCCAGTGTTAAAGTACTGTTTTCTTATTTAAGTACTCAACAAACTCTAGCAGTTTTGTGTGGGTGTAGTGGGTCATTGATCATTTCACAGTGTTGCAATGAGGTGACTTGCAGAGAATGAGATTAACCCAACTCCTCTTGGTCATTTTAGGCAGGCAGGAACACTCTCTCTTCCCTTGAGCTCCCAAGCACTGTCATCCAAGGACATTCTCTTCTGGAAGTGGGAGAATCTGGTTCTTTCAAATCACCTGATCCACTGTAGCTGCCAGGTCTCTGAGCCTAACCCTAACCCTGCCCTCCTCCCTAGCCCCATTCCTTTCTCACATTAAGGAGACAGATTGGTGGATGAATTCCTGCTGGCAGGTGACATTTAGGGGAGGGGAGGGAAACAAGGCTGGGGCAAACCACCCATTCCTGCCTTTAATGTACCCATAAATAACAATAGCACCCATTCCTAGCATCATGCCTTTGACATGATAAGGATGTCCAGCGAGCATAGCAAATGTTATACGAATATATTTTTCCACTGGCTCAAGAACTGGTGGATGGCATTTAAATTTGGCTCTGAGGAAGAATCCCTAGTTCTCTATTTACTGGGCTAACAGCATCCTTTTGAAGAACGCTAATTCCATGTACATGATGGCATCTGAAGGTGGGAGGTCATCAAAACAGGAAAAACAGCATTCGTGGTAGCACAATAAAAGCCCTGACTGTTTGTACATATGTACAATGTCAGCACATATACATAAAGGGCAGGGCTTTGATTGCACGGTTGTAAGTGCCATCTTGCCTGTTTTGACTCCGCCTGCCGATGCCACTGCACGCACACTTTCTCCAGATACCACTGTTACAAACACACAATGGATAATGCTACACAATGAAACACTTGTATCCAAAAATGAATGCATGTACATTAAGATACAAGATAATCAAATATATAGTACATGCTGTGTTGCTTAACCATAGAACTTACCTCTGCTTCCTTCTTCTTCTTCTGCAGTTTTTGGTCTTCAATCGCTTTGTCAGTATGCTGTGGCAATGGTTTTGGAATCTGGATAACTGCTGCTTGAATCTTGGCCATGATTTCATTTTGCCTGCGCTTTTCTACAATTTTCTAAATATCCAAGAGGAAGGATAGTAAGGTTTTAAACTGGCTACTGAATAAATCTTAATTACACACACACACACACATACACACGCATGAATTTCATGATCAAAGGAAGTGGATAATTATTATTATCTGTATTATCCCTATGAAGATGATGTGTGTATGCAAAAATAACAGATGAAAACAAATTACACTTTACAATAGGGCTATATAATTTTTTAATGCCACATTTGACAACTTAGTATGACCCCCTCACATATTTAATAATTTAAAATATTCTCCTTCTATCACACAAAAGCTCTGAGGGGTTCTGCAGGGTTCTATGCTTTCTCCCCTCCTATTCAACACCTACATGAAGCCACTGGGTGAGATTGTCCATCACCACGGAGTGAGGTACCATCAATACGCTGCCCTTGAAGAGTATCTGGAAGTTTCATCTGGTGCAAAATGCAGTGACGCAGGCTGCACCTCTGCTCCGCGACCTGCACTGGTTGCCAGTTTGCTTCTGGGTGCAATTCAGAATGCTGTTTTTGACCTTAAAGCCCTTCATGGCATGGGGCCAGGTTATCTGAGGGACTGCCTCCACCCGATTACATCTGCCCATCCCATTAGGTCTAACAGAAGAGGCAACTGAGAAAGAGCTTCATCTTGCGGGATCCAGGAGACGGGCCTTTTCTGCTGTGGCACCCGCCTTGTGGAACACTGTCCCCACCGAGGTGAAACTGGCCCCATCCTTGACATCCTTCCAGAAGTCCCTTAAAACATGGCGGTTTCAGCAGGCTTGGGGATCTCAAGGAAATGGCAATTTGATGAGATAGCTGCATTATTTTTAACATCAATTTTCTCCACTGTCTTGTTATTAATAATATTGCTGACGTCTTTTAATTGTAGTTGTTTTAATATTTTTATTTTATAATTGTTTTCATTGTAAGCTGCCTAGAGTCACTTTATTGTGAGATGGGCGGCTATATAAATGTGATAAATAAATAAATAAAGCTAAATTTTGGAAGCACTTCAGGAAACCTATCCAAGACTTTTAAGGGTTGCATGTCAACCTAGGACCTCATGTTTGGCATCTCTGCTTAACAATAATTAAAATTATTGTAACAATTAGTAATAATTATGTACTGCATCTTTGCCAGTCATTGGGGAGAGAGGGAGAAATCCCCAGTTTGCCATCACCTTAAGTGAACAATGGGCTGTAAGTTTCCTTAAAAGCAACCTGCCCATAGTCCCGTGATGGGGAAGGAGCCTGATGTTGGAAGTGAGATGAAGCCATCACATTCTTCCCAACCTCAGGTGCTGTCAAATCTCTGTTAGCAGTGGTACCATCAGCCTAGGACCCTAGGTTAGCAGTCTGGGCTCCAGGTACCAAAATGAGAAAGATCACCACTGAAGCACAACTATTTATCAATTTATTTATTTAATTTCTATAGCTGCCCATTTCAACCAAGCGACTCTGGGCGGCGAATATGAATATGAATGAGCAATTTAATCAATGTGTAAGCCACCTGAATTGTTCAAATGACTCTAAGCAATAGAGCAAAAGAAAAGAAACAAAACAAACAATATAACTTACTACTTTGAGGACAAATCACCATAAATAAAAATGTGGGATCACAAATTACCCTGCCCTAGCATCTCCTTGAAAAAGCCATATTTGTAAGACTTTCTCAAAAGGCCATGTAGGCTCCGGGGGGGGGGGGGGAAACAA